GCAAAAAAAGCTCCTCCCAACGTAGGTGTTCACTCTCAAAAAGAGTACAAAATCCTTCCTCCACTGAAAATGACACAGCTTAGGGTGAAGTAGGATCAACAAGTGGTTCTTTAACAAGAATCTTAGACTCTTTAGCAATAATCGAACATGGTAGTGAGTACAGCTTCAAGATTGTTTCTTCCACCAAGAAACAATATCAAGATCTAATCTTGATCACTTCAAGAGGTGGAGATCGAACAAGGTAGGGCAGCAAGAGCAGAGAGAGAGAGAGAGAGAGACGAAAGCAAAAAGCAGTCAAACTATGTGTGTCTTTTTCAGTTCGCCCTCCTCTTTATATATTATCCTTAAAGAGTCAATCTCCTAATCTAATTAGGAGTTTCTTCATCCAAATCTTTATTTGGATTTGAACTTTTTAAGTGATAAGGATAATCCCTTATCTTATCTGTAGATCAAGATCAACTATTCCTAATCAAATTAGAAGTTTCCTGATCCAAATCTCTATTTGGATCTGGACTCTTTAAGTGGATAAGAGTTATTCTCTTATCCTTATCTACTGATCCATACCCAGATTTGCCCCTATTTAATTAATCCAATTAACCCAGTTCGAAGTGAGCTTTTGGCCCATTAAGCTTTCAGGCTCACTTCCTTCTAATGCTGGCTAACTTGGCTCTTTTTGTATGGCGTGGGACCCTATCATTGATCTCCACATCAGCCACATGGGTTCAGCCTAGCCTCTGTTACAAGACCTGGCTGAATTCACTACTAAATACAATGAACCCCTGAGTCCATCAGTATGGGCTCTTAATCGATCCAACATTTATAGTAAATGGTCATTGGGTCCAACCATCTTATGAAGGCCTAAGGACTTTGGGCAAATGTGAGATTATCCCATCAGGTTTATTATCCCTAAATGGTCTTACACTTAACCTCTCAACTCTTAATGATCAAACATTGCCCGACAAGAGAAGACATCTCCCTCGGTTGCAAGGTATAGTGTTGCACTCTCTACTAACATGGATCCTGGGAATTAAAACCTTTCGTAGGCTTTTTGTGAAATCGTAATATATATATATATATATATATATATATATATATATATATTAGGTTTCCATCAGAGAGAGTGCATTCACCGATCATTTACTTTGTCCGACAAAGGGGCTGATCTTGTCACTATGATCACCCACTCAGGTGAATTCTCGGACTGCCCCAACATACCCAGGTTTTGATCCCCTCTAAGGATCTCATTGATTGGCATATCAAAGGCATAAGGATCCCATTGATTGGCATATCAAAGACATCCCAATAGGGCAATATTGGAATTTGGTCCGGTTCAGGGTTTCAAGAAAACCCACACTACATGTACCTCAGGTTTCACCCTGACAACTGAGACAAATTACCCTAACCAACTTGGCAGCACATCAGTGTCAACCTTGACAGGATAAATCTCCCCAGATCTATCCAACGGCTATGAAAATTCTAAACTAACACGAGTCTCATATGTATCCAATTTAAGGGTATTACACGGAAACACACAAATATAACATGTATCAAATATATACTTTATTCATTTACAATAAACGCCATAATGTACATCAAGCTGATTGGAGCTAAAGGCATATACTATCTAATAGAGCAGGAATCGTGTTTTTGCAGAAAACCTATGACAAGATTAGACACCATTTAGAATGGTTGAATATGAAAGAATGAAACTTTATGGGGCAACAATTTTGAGTTGCAATCAGTTGGCAGGGGTCGATGATCCAAAAATTCAGTCATGGGGTGAAGAAAGTGAATGCAATGATCCCCTAAGGCTCTGGATGAAGCAGGATGAGGAGAGTAGATAGCTGAGAAGATTGGAGTGATTGCTGATCCAGAAGTAACCACGGTTCATATCACATCTTTGTTATTACAAGTGATGGTGTATTCCAATTATTCTCCAGCCAAGCCGTCGCCAATATGGTAAGGTATTTTCCTTTTCTTTCTTTTAATTTTCTGTACTTGTGGAAATGTATGTAACATTAAAAATATATGGATGTTGGATGCATTCTAAGTTTGATCAGCTTGTGATCATGTAAAAAAATTAAACAAAATTATTTTCTTCATTAAAAAAATTCTCATCTTCATTAAAAAATTCTCATCTTTAAAAATTCTCAATCAATAATCAATCCCCAGATTGTTAAAGTCCAAAACTTAGGTGAATTTGAATTTAAGGTCTTTAAATCTTATCAGATTTCGGAAAGTTGAAAAATAATTAATTCTTTATTTTTTTACTTTAAAAAATTAAAGCTAAGTTGGATTAAATTTGAATTCAATCCGAATTGAATTTGAAGCTGATCTGTCATCCATTTCGATTATCTTGGATTCGATGATGTAATTATGTAATGGGATAAGATTGGATTTGACTCCATCCAATCCGATTATAAAATAATGTTTATTGATATTAATATATCAAATTTATATAGTAAATAGATATACGGATTTATATATTTAACAAATTTAATATGTTATATCTGCATTAATTTATCACGTATAAAAGTTGAAAAGTAATTAATTTTTTTTTTTTATATTTTAAAAAATTAAACCAGAGTGGATTTAAATCCGAATATGATTCAAGTCTGCTAGGGTTCGAGTTCGAATATGAGATCTTCAAATCCAATCGGATTTATGGATTTCATAATGTTTAAAAGTAGTTAACTTTTTAATTTTTTATCTATTTAAAAAAATACAATGGAGCTGGATCAAGTCCGTTAGGATTTAATTTGAATTTTAGATCTTCAAATCCAATTGGATTTTGGAAATCTGAAAAGTAATAAACTTTTTTTTTTGTGTACCCTTTAATTTGATTCTACTTCAATTTTTAAAATTACAAAAAAAAGTTAATTACTTTTTAGCTTTTGAAATCCAATTGAATTTGATAACCCACAAGTAGAATTCAAATCCTAATGGATTTAGATTGGAATCAGATTTAATTTGACTCCGCTTCATTTTTTTAAAATACAATAAAAAAAAAGTTAATTACTTTTCAGCTTTTGAAATCCAATTGGATTTGATTACCCACAAGTAGAATTCAAACCCTAACTGATTTAGATTGGAATCAGATTTAATTGGACTCTGCTTCAATTTTTTAAAATACAAAAAAAAAAAAAAAGATAATTACTTTTCAGCTTTTTGAAATCTAATTGGATTTGATAACCCACAAGTAGAATTCAAATCCTAACGGATTTAGATTGGAATCAGATTTTTTACTCTGCTTTAATTTTTATATTATATCTGAAAAACAACCGACCAATAATCTGGAATCATAAACATGGTAAGGAGTCAGGTATTATTTATCAAAATTCATGGATGAGTTTTAATTGGTCAAAAACCTCCCCTATACTTTTTGATAGTTCATTATGCTCTCTTGATCTTTCTGATATGTTGCATCTACACCCCTCCATTTTCTTGAGCTCATGAAAGCAGGCAAAATTTCCAAAATATCCAACATTGACTGTTTGAATCGTATTTTGGCTTCTAAAATTGCCCTTCCCTATTACACTGATCATAAAATTCATGAAACTTTGTTTTTCTACAATTTATGTATATTTTGTTGAGTTATATATGTTTTTTGAATTCTTTTACAAATTATATATATTTTCTACATTACTTTTTTTATTGAAATATATATTTTTTAATTTTATCATTTTTTTTTTGTTTTTCTACAATCTTGATTTTTCGATTGAAATATATTTTTGAAAAAAAAAATCATTTTTATGTTTTTTTTAAAAGTTGAATTTTTTAGTGGATCTTTTTTAAAAGTTTTATCAATTTTTGTGTCTCATACATTTTTTTTGTGTGTTTTGAGAAGAATATTGAGTCTCGTGGATATACAAATCAAAGCAAGTAGGTTGAGGTGGGTGTGGGTCAAGGTGGGTTATAACACACTATTCAAGCAGGATATAAATGATTCTTTTCAAGGTACTTTCGTTAGTGTAAGGGCACATGTTTTCATCTAAGGGCAATCTTGACATCAACAATTTCCATTAAAATTTTAACGTTGATTCTTGAGTTAACGGAGGGGTGTAGATGCATCAATGTCAAAATGTTTAGGGAGGACAATGTTATTAACATAAAGCAGGGTACTGAACTGCAACTGTCAAAAATTACAGGGAGGTTTCAGCAATTTACTCTAATCAAAATTTACAGTCTTTTAAAGTTATTTATTTAGCAGTGAAAGATGGGCTGGGCTGAGGTCAATTCCAACACAACTTGAGTTGTTTAACCCCTAACCCTAACCTTAACCCAACACAATAATTAGGGGTGCAAATGGATCAAATCATGATCCGATCCGATCTGAAATTCGATCCTATTTGATTGAATTCGTATCACCCCTGATCAGATCGGATTCGGATCACCCCTATCTGATATGAGAAGATCTGATCCGATATTATATATATATATATATATATATATATATATGTTATTTATTTCTTTATAAATATATTTTTATAAATTTGTTATATTATTTATCTTTTATAAAAACATATATATACATAATGAAAATAATTAAAAAAAACTTGTATTTTTTTGTTTTTACTTTATTTAAATTAGTATATTTTATTTTCTTATAATAATTTATTAATTTTTAAAGAAAATATGTGGATTGGATTAGATCCGAAGATCCAACTTACCGATAGGACTTGAATTCAAATCCGAGTCCTATCAGATCCAATCGGATCTGACATAAACAGTATCAGATCAGACTCGAATATATCTTAATTTGAATCCGATCCGATCCGTTTGCATCCCTAACAATAATTTCATGTTTGGTTGGCCCCTCTTCTCTATTTTTTCTTAAATGTATTTATTTCCAAGACTAGGGGTTCATGTCAATTCAATATTAGCATTAATGCATTGTTATGTGTAAAAGAACATAGTAATCATGTTTTAGAGAAATTTTGCCTTGAAACTTTTGACATACAATATACATGCATACATACATTGATACATTTATAAATACAGATACATAAATGTATGTTTATATGATATTTATACATAAAAATATAAAGTTAAGTCAGGTTCAGGTTAAGGCCTCAACTCAACCTGAAATCAAGTTCATAATTTTGAATCCAAATTTCAACCCAACCTAATCCGATTTGACCTTTTTAGGTTGGGTTTTGGTTTCACTTGAAAATCTAATGTATTTCCATTCAGAGGAATACTTGTCTCGTTCATACATTAGACTGATGCTTGATATTTATGACAATTATTGTGATATCGTCTATTCGATAGCCATTCTCTAACCATAACTTATATGATTCTCCAGCAATGGCAGCACATGCATTCCGAGGATCTTTGTATCTCATCACCTACAGAAAAAAATGGAAGAATTTGTAGTAGAGGATGAACAGGTATAAAGTTGGGATAAGGCATGAATGATAATGATTTACCATAAAGCAGTTCTAAACAAGGCTTATTTCTTTTATACATGAAATATTTTATATTACATCATATAATTTGTTATACATTATACCATATATCTCTCTCTATCTACGTATATATATATATATATAAGTGTGGGTGTATGTCAGCCAGGCCTAAAGTATTGATCCTCCGCCCAGACCCAGCCTAGAGAGTTTTCAGCTTAATGCAGGCTGAGACTGGGAATGGGCCTCAACGCAAAACCTAAGTCCAAATCCAATATTTTTGAATCGGGTGGAAAATGATCACTCCTTGATAGACGATTGTTTTTCCCCTAGGACTACATCTAGGGTAATTGTGATGTAGATGACAATTTGACACGTCTGTTGCCCCCAAATATTTAGATATAACGTTTCTGGGGGACTATAGACAAACTTTTGCAGATAAAAGAATGACAAATGAGAAGCACCAAGGGCCTTGCCCTAATAATATTTGGATTGATCATTGATGAAATAGGGAGAATGCAAGAAACTAAGGCTGCGTTTTTATTTGCACTGGTATAAATGCATGGGAGTTTAAATAGGGTGAGTGCAAATTCTGATTTATTTTTGCTTCAGATTTGACCTCTTGTTTATTTGTGAAAGTAAAATTGGGTCTGTGATCAGGTTGGAGTGTAAACTTTGCATCAATTTTAGATGCAAAATTTATACGACTAATAAGTGCATATGAGACAAATAAGACAATTTTTTTTTTTTTTACCGAATAGGAATGCAAATCAGATTTACAAACAAACAAATTTTCATCACAAATAAAAGGCAGCCTAAAGGTGGGATCATTTGTGGGAACAAAAATAGGTTTTCCTGTAATTAGGGGTGTACAATCGGTTGGTTCGGTTCAAACCGAGAATCTAACTGACTATTTGGTTTTATCATTTCTTCTAACCGAACCGACCCTAATCAAATTCGGTTCGGTTTGATTCGATTTTCAGTTGATTGGACCCTGATTTCACATAAATGACAAGCATTTAATAAGTGTTATTAATGAAAAGTTAAAATGGCCCCAAAACCCAATGGTTTAGTTAATTAATATTAACAATTATTAATTAAAAGTTAGAATTACCCCAAAGCACAATAGTTTTAATTAATTGGCTATTATTAATTAAAAGCTAAAATGGACCCAAAGCTCTATGGGCGAATTGGCCATTTTCAAAAGTAATTAATGATTAATGAACAATTAATGACTAATAAACAATTAATAATAAGTCTATGTTTTAATTAACTATTATTAATTGTTTATTCGAAAATATAATGATTAATTAGCATAAAATATTAAATAAAACATTAATGTTTAATATACTTAACTAAACAACAGCATTAATTCGATTTTCGGTTCGATTCTGTTGAAAATTTCTGTCAAACTGATCCGAAACCAAAAATTGATTTTTTTTTTTTAAATAAAAATTGAACCGACCCGAAAACCAAATTAGCTTATTTGGTTTGGTTTGATTTTCGATTTATCAACCGAATTTGAACACCCCTACCTATAGTCATGGATCGAAGCAACTATTGAGTAAAAGGATAGTGCAAATCCACTTGTGAGGATAATACCGAAAGGATGACAAATTTTGTACTTCATGAAAGAACGGCTGGTGAGGAGCCAACTGCTTCTATTAATGCAAATGGTCAGCGTCTTGGTTTCATGTGGCATGGATTAATTTTTTCCGTTGATATAACTCTGATACAAGTTAATAACAAAATTTAGGAGGCATTTGGTAAATCTTTTTTTAATGGTTTTTCAAATTTTTTAATGGTCTTTTTCCATTTAGCAATAAAACATAAGAAGCTAGAAAGACCCATGTTTAAAAAGTAGAAAGCTTGTAGGAGCCCAAAATGGCCGAAAATCAGGAAGCCCATCTTTCTGTGTCTAAAATGTTTTGCTTAACAGCCCGGTAGACCACGGCAGACCAGGATACTTATGGTTTTGATCTACTGAGATATTGAAACTTGAAAGATCTACTTAAAAAAGACTTGTCAAACAGCCCCTCACTCCCATTTATTTAAGATAGTTCGCAGTTGGAATTGAAATCAAAATTCTTCTGAATTGGAATTGTCTATTCCCATAGTCTGTTTGGTCCAAACAGGAATGGGAATAGGATTCCGAATCTCGCCCAACCAAACAGTTGGAATTGGAATAGCCATTCCAAACCCCTATTCCTGCGAACCAAACAGGGCCCCTAAGTGAATTTGGTCCATCTCCATTCATCTTAGGTGATGAGGACAAATTTCACGAGAGGATGTGGAGAAATAAAATGAGAAAACAGGCTAATGAGTCAATCCAGATCCAGCTGAAAAAGAAATAGAGAAATGCACATAATCAAAATACAAGAAGAAGGCCTAAAGCTTACCATATTGGCGACGGCTTGGCTGGAGAGGAATTGGAATACACCATCACTTGCAATAACAAAGAACAAGTGATTAGATGTGAGCTGAACCGTGGTTACTTCAGGAACAGCAATCACTCCAATCTTCTCAACCATACTATCACCCAGGCTCCTTGTAAATGCAGTCCCACACATCCACTTCTCATCATCCACCACCCACAGCCTTGGGGGATCATCGCATTCACTTTCTTCACCCCATGACTGAATTTCTGGATCATCGACCCCTTCCAACTGACTGCAACTCAAAACCGTTGCCCCACAAAGCTTCACCCTTTCATATTCATCCCTCCTAAATGGTGTCTGATCTTGTGATAGGTCTTCTGCAACAACACGACTCCCGCTCTTGACAGCAATTATTGCTCTCGAGTCACCCACATTTGCCACGAAAAGTTTGTCACCACTGACCAGGACGGTAATTGCAGTTGTACCGCTCTCTGAATCGTCTATCTCGCTTTCATTAAGTTCAGAATTTGTGGCCCGAAAGGCAGAATTGTATGCTTCTACAGGATCCTCTGCCAACGAGGGATCGGCTGAGAGGATTTCCATCAGCCTATTCCGAACAAAAGTCGAACACCTGGCGCCATCCTCGCCGTGCCCATCAAAGACCCCAAAGAAATGGAGGTTTGGGTTACCTTGGACCTGGGTCTTGATGCAGAAACTATCCTGATTTTCTTTACCAGGCCTACGGGGCTCGTAGCCCCGCTGAGTGAGCGCTGAATACTCTAACTGGAACTGGTGGGAAGGCACGGAGGCGAATTCCAACAACCTCCCTGTGAGTATGTGACCTTGATTTCCATGAACACGGAAGTCGTTGCTACAATGCGGCCCAACTTCTCGCACGTCTGCAGTATCTTCATCAGAGGTTACTTGATGCCGACCACAGCACAACATGGACTGAGAACCGAAGAGCAACATTTTGGGGTTGACAAGAGCACAGCAATTTTTTTGTACACAGAATATGGGTCTTCGGAAACAGAATTAAGAACGAAATCCAGATCAAGCCAGTGTTCTGCGATAAACCCTAGAAAGAAGCAGTAAATCCCTCTTAGAGAAAGAGTATTTCAGTTTTCAGAGAAAATTGTGATCTGTGTTTCGGGTGAAGTAAGAAGCTATGCATGCATATAAATTAGTCAAACCGGGAAGAAGCATTCTCAAGAAGATGCACCTTGTATTTATGCGAGTTCCTGCACAAAACCTTTCCTCGATACAGGGACAAGGTTGAATCATAGGAAAAGGAAGAATCTGGGACATGTTTCTCCAATCCTGAAAATCAAAATCCCAGAACACAGAGACGACGTGTATTGGGCGTTAAAAGGTTCTTACTAACAAGAGGTCTTGTTATAAGGTAACAGAACCTTAATTGCAAAACTAAGGGAGAAGAAAATGATCAAAACCTTCAGATGAAATAATCTGACATACCCAAGGGGGTCTTCTGAAGAAGAAATGAGGTTTCTTTCAAGCACAGATTTTTGGATAGGTCTTATAAAAAGCACAGATTTTTGGATAGTCAATTTTCTGTGTGCATGTGTGTTTGTGAAGAAATGGATAATAAATATGTCTTGCGTGAATAAAGAGTACACAAAGATACTTTCCTTTTTTTTGTCTCCATCCTTACTTTGTTACTTAGGAGTTTAATAACTTCAGTTTTAATTAGAGCTCCCCATGAATGGATACATGATAGTCTAGTACAATTGACTAATCCTTACTTACTTTGTTACTTATGGTTTACTTAATTGATTAAGTGTATCTTATTTTTTTAAAAGTGACTAATATTATTCTTACTGTTTCTTATAATTGACTAATTCTTCCCTTAACGTTTGTTAACATAAAGGCGAAAAAGATTATACATCCCTATCATTTTTGCACCTAAAAACCCCTTTCATAACATCGGATTTTGCCTGCCGGAGAATCTACGGTTTGTCACCACTGTGACGTCTAGCTCGAGTTTGGGAGTTTCAAGACGATGGTGAACTATGATCCAAAATGCAAAAATAAATGAGGGAAGGGGTGGGAAAAAAGACAAGGAAGAAAGAGATAGAGAGGCGGCGAACCAACGGCACCCCCCTTCTCGCTCTAGCGGCGGTGATGACCCCTCTTCGAACGAAAATAGAGGGGTGGTGAACCAGCGACACCCTTCTTCGAACACTGAAGAGTGAAAGACACAGCTGCACACAATGGCGAACCAGCGGCACCCCGCTTCTCACTCCAACGGCGGCGATGACCCCTCTTTGAACGAAAATAGAGGGGCAGCAAACCAGCGACACCCCTTCGGTTAATGGATCAATTTCTGCTGAAAACGGAAGATCTTCTGTCGTTAAAGAGAGGTTAAACCAAAGATCTTGGCCTGATGATCGTGGCTTCCCTCTTTGTCCCCTGTTATCCGATGACTAGGAATGGGCTGAGGTAGCCGTCCATTCTGAGCTCAGTGTTGATGGTGGCTTCTTGCTCGCACGCTGACCGTGATGTGTAGCCAGGGGTGGCCCTCTCCACTTCCCTCCTCTCTCTCTCTCTCTTTGACTGGGACGGTGATGACCACTCTTCGAACGAAAACAGAGGGGTGGCAGTGAACCAGCGGCACCCCTCCGGCCATTCTCTCCCATTTCTCTCTCCTTTTACAGTACCTTTCATTGTCGACCTCTACTCGAACCAGAAGCGGCGATGACACTTTTCTCTCCGATCTTTGTTATTCTCTCACACTTTCTCTTCTTTTTTTTTCTTCTCCTTCTCTCCTCCGCGTCCTCTCTCAGTTTACTGTTTCATCATCGCCACCGTCACTGCAACTCATTGTTGCAGCGGCAGATCTGAACACGATAGATAACCAAAGACTAACAGGAAATGAAAACAGGTATTTTAAATTAGTACTAATCTGAGTTTATCAGTAGTATGTAAGCATACAATGAGAAAAAGAGAGAAGGGGAGAGAGAGACCGAGGCGGAGGGGGAGATCTCAGAATAAAGAGAGAGTGGCTCAGAGGGTACGAGGGTAATATTGGATTTTAAAAAAATTGTATAGGTCACGTGGGGTCACATGTGCATAGATTGTGATAGAGCATTAATGGTAAGGAAAGGGTTACTCAATTGTAAGAAATAATAAAGATAGTGTTAGTCCATTTTCAAACAATAAGAGTATACTTAGTCAATTAACTAAATCATAAGGATAGTTTAAGAAATTTACCCTATCTATCTATCTATCTATATATATATATATATATATATATATATATATATATAATCCATTTATTCCACGTATCACCCTTGCCCATTCTTCAAAATTTGCTCCAAAATATTCATTCTATTTTTTTTCAATTTTATTTTATTTTTTATTTTTTTAAAGCCACCTAAATCAGAATTTGCACTTCCCACAACCTAAAATCTCTTCATTCCCAAATCCCCAATCCCTATGTTTAGGGGTGCAAGTTAGGCGAGTTGGTTCGGGTTTATAGTCAACCCAGGCCCGGCCCTAAAATTTGGGCTTAAGGCCTGAGCCCAAGGTCAAGCTCGATTTTCTCAACCTGAGCCTAGCCTGCCCTATAATTTGATGCACTCGGGTTGGGTTTGGACCTGGGCCGGGCTCGGGTTAGTCAATGAACCCACTCTAAAATTACACATATATAAATGTATTTATGCAAATATATATTCATATATTTATGTATGTATATAAATATGTATGCAAAATATTTATACAAATATTATTTATAAATGTATATAATTGGGCCGGGTTCGGGCTACCTAAGGGCTAGGCCTAAGCCCAGCCTGAAAAAAAAAAACCGACTTCTTAGGCCCGAACCCAACCCGAGAACCAAAAATCCAAGCCCAGCCCATGTAAAATTCCGGGTTGAGTTGGTTCGGGCTCGGGCTGGGCCCGCCCAAGTTGCACCCCTACCTACGTTTCTAATAAACAAGAATTATAATAAAGGATGGCTCTTTTTTGTTTTTTTTTTTCTTTTTGTTTTTTCCAAAGTTTTGGAGAATGAATACATGTAAACGTGGTGGCCACTTCCCAAATAATTTTACGCATGAATCTCTCTCTCTAAATTATAACGCCCCACATTCTTACAATTAGACCTGCTGATAGATCGGGCTCGGGCTTGGCTTTTACCACCGGTTTTTGGAAAACCGGTTTTTGGACCATACTTTGAGATGAGACGACTACTAATTGATAATTCGATACTACATAATATTATAACAGAGAGGTGATAAAAGCAAACTTAACAAAAACAGGGAAATGAGACGATTGAGATCAATCTTCTCCCAATATTTTTCAACAACTTCTCATTAAAACAAAAAACAAGGATGGTAGTTTGCTCTTGAACACGAACTGAGGATTTAACCAAAAAAATGTAAAATTGGTCGGGTGCTATCCTTTTCACTACAGAACTATCCATTTTCTAAAAATCAACTGAGGGAAGGTCGATGATCATACTTTGGAGTAGTTTCTTCTCTGAATGTATCAAATGAAGCTTGTCACACTGTACCATGATTGTGTTAGTGCTCCCAACTTAGAATTGTATTTTGAAGTTAGTTTCTCAATGTATAATGACTTAGAATTGTAATTGATTTTCATTCTGTCTTATAAGTTGTTTGTTGGGAGTGGGAAGGTCTTAAAAAATGAACTTGATCGACTATGTGAAATTAAAAAAATTCAAAAATTTAAAAATTTAAAAAATTAGTAAAAGGGATTTTGGAACAAAATTTGAAGAGCAGAAAGATGCCACGTGGACTGAATTGCTATGTATAAGATTTTCGGCTCTGACAACCCCTATATTTTGCGAAAGATGCCACGTAGGCTCTAACAACCCCTGTACCAGCGGCGGTGCCACAAGCTGATGCTGCGGTGAAACGGATCAAGATGAGGAGGAACAGTGGACTGGCAAACAAGACGGACAACTTAGAGATTCAATTCCAGTAGCCTCCCCTGAGCTATTTTGGTAAGTTCAAGAGGAATTGGACTGTGCATATCGGAATCTTGATCTTGATATACGTCTTCATGGTTTTTTCCTCGGTTGCCCTTCCCTATTCCTAATCTATAAAATCAACTTTCTTCATATGTGTTCTACATTGTCCTGGAATTGGATGCCTCCACATCAGCATAGATCTCCCTCCATGGCTGCGGCATCACGCGCATTGGTCATCGGTTTCTTCAACTCAGGCGAGGTAGCGTGATTCAAATTCCATAGGTCAGTTTGTCGAATTTGAACATGGTATCGGAACTAATCGTTGGCGAGGTAGCTTTTCCTAACTGCCATAGTGAAAATTTTTCAAGAGCTAATATGGTGGCTTTGTATTTCTGCCCCTTCTCTCTTCTAAGCCTTTGAGAATTTCTCCCTTTTCTTTATGCTCTTGGTTTTGCTAATTTACTCTGCTTTTATAAAAAGTGTAAATGGATAAGGTTGTCCCTTGACTCCCTTCCGCCCTTCTCTCTCTTCCTCCCTCTCTGATAAATCTTCCACTGTAACAAGATGTAACCAAACATGACGAGTGTAAATGAGCACAATGGTCGCTTCATATTTTACACTCTCACCGAACCATCGTGTCTCAACCCCATCGGTGTAAAAGTGCATTTACACTAGAAACAAATGCGGCTATAATAAAAATAACAGTTTAACACTGAGTCCTTCATCAATGATCGACTTTTCCTTCCATTGTTTACCCTTGTAAAATTCTTTTTTGTAGAGGTTATTAACTTTTGCAAACAAATCAAGTCCCAACACAAGTTAGGTGATAGTTTTTCTGACTTATTAATTTAGGTGTCGTTTGGCAAGTCTTTTTTGAAAGATTTGATAGGCAAAAGACGTAATGAGCTTTTACATAACAATCTTGGCAGTCCAAAGTTCATTTTATTAGAGGCGTGTCTTTCTAGTGAAGACGAGACTTGAGCAAGTGAGAAAAGGCATGAAAATCCATTTCTAACTTCCCAAAATAAGCTTGAATTGAGTTTCTCGCGTTTTTTCAAAACACAGTCTTTTGGTGGAAAGATCTTCCTCCAACCAAACAGAGAAAGACTGAAAAGCAAACTGCCAAGCTTCTAAAAAGCTGACAACCCATGCGGAAAGATGCACCAAATGGGGCTTTAATTTCTTTCTTCCCTACATGCTTCAATACACTCCAGATCAATGCGTTGATTTTCCTTTGAGTCCATAGTCCATACATTTTCTAACATGTGCAAAGAGGGTACCCCAAGGTACCCCACAAACGCCCGACAACATATCCCAACCATGCATTGAGAACATCTTCCATTGATAATGTTGGGAGATGTTCCCAATACACGCTGAGATGTGCACGTGGGGTAGGGCCGCAAGTCGAGTCGGGTTGAGGCCAACCTTAGCCCAACCCTAACCCTAACACAACCCAACCCAACCCAACCCGAAGTCAATTATGGGTTGGGTTGGGCTCGGGTTGGGCCCAACCCAACCTTCTTCCCATCCTTTAAAACCTCATAGAATTTCTCGATTTTAGATCTTAACTCAACTTTCGCTACATATATTAATCCCATGTTTCATTAGTATTTGTTTGTTTACGTTATTTTTTTGTACTTTTAGTACAAAATTCAAAAGAACAGTTGTTAGAAATGACTATAGTTTATTATGAGTTATGACTTATGATAGATCTTTCTTGGGCGGCAAACAACATGGAGGAGATGAAGAATAAAATTTTCAAAAAACATAAAATAATGTTATTAAAGTTTTAGTCTTTCTGGTTAGGATTAAGTGAAGTGATTATCTTAAAAGAAATACATGATACTATGTGGTGGAAGATATGTAAATATCATGCATCTCAACAAATCAATGTATGTTATCTATCTATCTATCGGTCAAGAAATTTTCTCCTTTTTTTGAATTTTTTATTTTTTTATTCCATGTCATTTTTGAAACAATCAATGAGATGCATTTTCCCTATAACCTAAATAATCTCTTCTCCTAAAATATCTCCTAAACTACCTCCCCCACTATTCCCTGCTTTCTCCAAAATTATCTCTAATTCCTATTTATCTTTTAAATTATCTCTAATTCCTATTTATCTCCAAAATTATCCCTAATTTAGTAGGAATTTTCTCTCCTAAAGTATCTCTAATTCCAATTTATCCTCTCCCCTATTCTTTATCTATATCTATCTAAAGAAAGTTTGGATTAAAAAATTTATAAATTATTTAAATATTCTAACAAATAATTGTTAGGTTGTTCGATTTTGGTCGGTTTACAAATGGCTGAAGTGAAAATGATCCAACTTGGTCGAATTGGGAAATTTTTTAACCCAAGCCAACATGAAATACTAGGAAACCGACCAAAATCAGTTTGATTAATAAACTGGTGCACTCAAGATGCGTCGTTAAACACCCGTGGCACCAGTTAAGAGATTTGTAAATTTTTCCAATCCTTACGCAACCTTAAACAACATAGTACATGGTGAGGAAGGGGTTGAACCCCACAAGGAAGTAAGAATAAAAATTATTATTTTCGTTCCGGACAAATAAAAGAAAAACAGATATGGGATTTGCAGAAAATAAGAACAAAAAATTTATTAATGCTGAAATTAAATGTTCTAAATTGAACAAGGCAATAATTAAAATTCAGAAATTAAAGAACATTGAAATCAACAAAAAAATAAATAAAAATGATCCAAAATTCGGATCCAGTGGTGGTAGCTCTCCGGGAAGACGAAATACACGCTTTCTCCCTCCGTTCAGCCCTCGAACCCCTCGAGACACCTTAGCCTTGAATCGAACAAATTCAGATCTGCAAAACACACAAACAAACAGAAATTACATCTAAAAGATTGCCAGAATAAAAATAACATGAAAGAAAATAAAGAAAACGAAAGGGATGGCTGATCAAATCCAGTGGCGGTAGATGCAAATTCACTGGACTGCTTGTAGGAACCCCTCTTGACAAGATCTGGGCGTCCTTCCTTTC